AGGAAAGCAAGGAGAACCTTCATCAAAGACTCAACTCCATTATCATCTGAGTGCCTTGCAGAAAGTTTAAATTCCAATCTGGTACACATGATGGCTTATATCATTCCATGTCATGTTCAAAATAGTAACTCTTGTTTCCTTAACTGGTAGTAACTCTTAAATGAAATACTAATGCTACACAAAAAAGTTACCTTCATAACTTAACTGCCTTTATTTACCATTTAAAAAATGTCATGTTATTTATAAACTTTGCTTGATTTGTTTTTTTCCTTCATGTTAGATGACTTCATAGATAAAGATGTGTTGATCTTACTTATTTGGAAACAAATCTCCAAAACCTATAATTTGGACATATTTTATTAGTAGTAAAATCACAGTTAAACTGAAGTCAATTAATATTATAGAATTGTATTGTTCAGGCTTGTTAGGAAGAGTTCTTTTCTTTCTTTGAAGGAGTTCTGCCCTCCCCACCTACACTGAGAGTAACTGGAATGTAGTACCTGTGGGGAGTGGGGCAGATGCGGGGGAAGGGAAGTCTGTGTGGGGCAGGAAGTGCATGACACAAGGGACCAGAAGTGGTTACTTGATCCAGGTGAGGGTTCATTCTCTGGAAACTAGACCCAAAGGAATCTAGATCTTGATAAGTAGCCTAGAGGAGGATGACTTACATAAACTCAGGAATGGGCACTTCTGCAGGAGCCTGAGCAGTGGCCATTTTATGGAAAGAGTGAGGAGACAGCCAACTCTGATACAGGGGCTGGAAATGTGGGCTCAGATTCCACGTCCAAGGAGAGTGAAGTTCAGTCTCAGGTCTAGAGGAACAAAGTTATCAAGGCCTGAATCTACTTTGAACTACATTGGTTGCAGAGACTGAAGTCAAACCAAACTTTCAGGGATTAAGCCACTTAACTATAAAAAAGGAAAACTGAGGGATGGTGATTAGGAAGGTCTTTATACTTAGGACAAAAACACTGTTTCAATCCTTTAGCATTAAATGCAGCATATGTGAATGGAAGAATATCCACAAAGCAAAATTTCAAAATCACTTATCAAATAAAATGAAGATTTATTGGTGATTATAATGAAAATTGTTGGTATTGTTTCAGACATATTTGTGGTGTGTGTGTGTGTGTGCGTGCGTGTGCGTGTGAATGTGTCTGAATTCTGTACTACAAAGTGTCAAACAGAGATCATTCTATTTTTTTCATTATTTTACATGGTCTATTTACCATCTTCACATTCTGGAATAATCTGGAATTTTTTGTAGATGTGCTGGTGAGAGAAGAAAGACCCTTTCATAAGAAGGGTTTGCAAAATCTCCCCTGGGACCAAAACATGCCTATTTCAGTAATAAGTCTCAGGCATTGAACTTACTTCTTCTTATGTTTTTCAGTAAAGGAAGAACAAAAACTAGCCCAAACCAGTCCACCCTGTGGATTTCAAAAAGCACCAGAAAAGAAAGTGGCATGGAAGTATAAGAATCCATCGACTTGGCTCCAGCACAGAAAATAGAATTTTAGAATTCTGGATCTGCATAAGGAATGGCATCTAGAACATTCGCTTGGAATGGCTTGAAATCTCAGAGGATCTGCAAGATGAACTGTAAGCTCCCCCTTGAGGCAAATATTAAAATAATTTTTATATGTTGGTTATTTCATTTACAAAATACGCTGTGCTAACAATGGAGTGAGACATGCTTATCGCTAAAGGATGCACCCAAACTTCAAGTAAATGGAATGGACCATGCAGATAAAATTGCTGTCAACACATTAGAGAAGTGTATGTGTTGGAGGCAGTTATTTTTGTTTCTTTCACCTTTCATAAGTTGTAATCTAGTTCACGTAATGTAAATTGTATTAAAGTTTACAGTGTGCAAAAATATTTTACCTTTACATAAGTGTTTGATAAAAATGGACTGTTCTAATATTTATTTTTATGGTGTTTCATTTTTCAGTACATGCTGTTTTGATTAAAGAAATTTATCACTATTTTCAGCTGAATCCACACACACATAGATAAATTACCACAGAAAATGTTTCTTTTCTAGAAATGGTTCATCTTCTTTCAGTTTCTCTGCTCTGGGGTCAGACAGTGTTTAGGAAATCTCTTCAGAAATAAGAAGCTATTTCATTAACTGTGGTGTAAATTTACTCAAATATTTTACTTAGAGGCAAGAACTGTCTAATTTCAATTGTGCAAGACATGTGCCTTACAATTATTTTTAGTTTAAAATTCAACAGATTTTGTAATAACTTTGTTAATAGCTGTATAAACAATATTATACTCCGTCTAGAACAAAAAAATGGCATACACAATATAAATCATATGTCTTCACATGTTGCCTATATAACCACAAGTAGCTCTCCAAGGGGTTCTGGAATCGAGTTGGTCCTTCCCTTGCCCACAAAACAAAGACAGTTGTTTGGGGGTGGGGATTAGCAGTGAAAGCAGCTGCAGAGTGTGCCTAAGGTTTTCCATAGCTCTGTTCAGCCTCCATTAGCATGTAAGGTGGTCTTATGGTTGGGACCAGGTGCGTCGTCACCACCGTCCATGTGGAGGTAAGCACAGCACACCGACATTTCATGAAGGAGAGAAACTATGATTTAGTGTGAAAATGGGTTGGAGGGCATCAGTGATCAATCATGTGTTCGTGTTGAGGATTCGTCTGAGAGAGTGAACTGCGGCTCCTCTTGTCTTCTGCTAGTTTCTTCAATGCTTGTGTCTCCTCAAGAGACTTGTAACTCTCTGGTCTTCAAATGTCCCTGTGTTCCTTTTAACTAAATAAAAAGTTCTTGTTTCTGACGAATGGCCGTGGGTGTTGTCTAAATCTTTTAAGTGAACAAAATATAGATCTGTTTGCATCAGCACATGAAGATGAAAACAAATTACTGTTAAAGTATGGTATGAATGGAAGTTGGAGTTACAGAGCATTTTAAACCTCATCTTTGCCCTGTTAAACCCTTGATGTTAGAAAATAAAGAGCTTTCATTAAGGCAATCATGACTAGTGTTGGTTGGTGAAACTTAAAGACAAATAGAGATGAGTGGGCATTGGCCCCCTTTCTGCTGCTTGGAGACTGAGGGCATGGACAGCTGTATTGTAAACTTCCATCTGCCCACACTTAGCACCCCCTTTCTCTGCTTGGCTACCCACATTGACTGGGATCTACCTCTTCCCTCCAAGCTCCCGCTGTGCATTTCTTCCTTCAGTCAGGACTTGATGGGAAGGAGACAGCGCTTTCCCCCACTTCTGTGCCACCCATGACTACAACAGCTGCAGGTCAGGAGAGGAAAGGCAATGGGCAAGGGCTGTGGTTTTGCCTTTTGTCTTGATCCAGATCCGCGTAACTGTTCCAGTATCAATTACTAACCCCATACATAACGAGGAGTGGGGCAATCAACTTCCTTTTTATTAAAAGATGACAGTGACACTGTCCTTAGGGCTTCTTAAAATTTTAGCTGACCTTTGAAAAATGAAAAGGAGTACATGATGTATCTGTTGTGTTTGTATTTTCAGAGCATAGTTCGGATACATGTTTTGGAATGTAGGTGAATTGTGGAACAATATCCAGGTAGTAAGATCAAACAATACCTGCCGCTTCATCCTTTCCAACTGCTCCTAAGTTCAGGTCATTGGAAAGGTCTTAAAAATAGTAGTGTGTTCAGAGACTCCTGACTTTTGTCATAAGAATAAATACCATGATTGTTTACCAGGAATTTGTAGTCCCCAATTATCTGGCCACACCTTTTTATATGACATTGTTTTCTGTTTCTCTGTTCCCCCCAAGATAGTGACTTTTGGTACAACACATGATTATCTGAACTTCCCTAAACCTCCACCTACACAGAGGCCCTAATTCTCTTCAATACCTCAATAAGAATCATTCCTTTCAGATGTAGCCCCATCTTGTTTCTTGTTTGGTAGGGCCAGTCTACAATCCCTTAACCTTATTCTTTCTTCTATTACTTGTGATTATATAGACATGTGTGTGTGTGTGTGTGTGTGTGTGTGTGTATTAAGTAGGTGTGGATTTTGTCTTCCCAAATAAATCAGTAGATTTTGTGTGGAAAGCTAAATAGAAGTTTGCACATACTCTGGAAATGATCCAAGAGATTAAAGCAGTGAAGCAAATTCATTTATTCCACATTTTTGGCCTTCTAATGGGTGATTCAGCTGTGTCTAAGTAAGTTTTGCACATGTTAAAAACATCCACTGTAAGACACTTAGATCAGAAAAAAAAAAACATTTGTAATAGTTGCATTTTTTGGATATGTCTGATTACTTTTTGGAAACTTAAAAAAATATTAGCTTAAAATAAATGGACGGTGCGATTAATGCAGGTAAAAAATGATCCAATAAAAGAATGGAAATATCATTTAATTTCCTTTCTATTTCGATACAGGGGTGATCTGTAGACTTGCACTTGTTTGCTGTTTAATTATCTTGAGAGGAATGTGTAATCAATTTAGTCCAGGTTTGTGACATGAGCCTAAAGTACATATTTGTTATGAGTGGGGAAAATATTAAGGATATGCTCAAGATGAATTGGAAATTGGAAATGCATTTAGATAGAAAATCAGGAAGACTACTGAGATTCTGAAAATAGCAAGGTGGAACTAGATAATTTACAGCAGTTTACTTCAAAAAATAACATACTGTGCAAAATAGTTTATTTTACTTTTTTTCTTAATTTTGTCAAAACTTTAAGAATGCAGTATATGCTTTAACATAGCATTCCTTTAAATAAGAAGAGTATGATAAAGATAATGATCACAAAGGAAAGATTGTAATCTCTGTGAAAGATTAACTGTTCACAATGAAAAAGTTACTTTGTACGGTACAGATTATTTTTTTGTCTTCACCCTTAATCCTCAGCATTTCGATGGCTTAGGTAAGAATAAAGCCTTTTAGAAATCTTTTTTTGTCAAACTCTCAATTCCCATGCTCTTTAGAGTGGAATGGGAAAACCACATGGCTTTCATGTTGGTTTAGGAAACACTCTACTGCAGAAAACTTTGTATCCATTCTGTGAACCTCGGGGCCAGGGCATAGACCCCTGGACGATTAGGCCGTGCGCATTGGTATCCAAATGACGTCACACCAGCCAGGAACCACCTGTTGTTTTCTTGGCACATCAATGGTCCTCCTGAATCCCCCTAAAGAGTAAATTGCAAAAGAAAATTATAGATGTGTTTTCTTTTTTTTTTTTTTTAACGTTTATTTATTTTTTGAGACAGAGAGAGACAGCGCATGAACGGGGGAGGGGCAGAGAGGGAGACACAGAATCGGAAGCAGGCTCCAGGCTCCGAGCCATCAGCCCAGAGCCCGACGCGGGGCTCGAACTCACGGAGCGCGATATCATGACCTGAGCTGAAGTCGGACGCTTAACCAACTGAGCCACCCAGGCGCCCTGTAGATGTGTTTTCAATTGATATATAAGATTATTTTTTAGCAAATCAATTCAAAACTACATGTCAAAAATATGCTTTAATTGAAAGTCATCTGTATACATCTTCACCAGCACTCTCTGTCAAGAAAGAGAACCTTTTGCTGCTTGGTAAGGACCCAGAGAAACCATGAGAACTAAAACATAATTTATATGTAATTCTTCATGATGTACTTTCATAGCAAGTTTCCTCACTTTCATTATGGCATTTTAATAGGGACTAAGAAAATCTCTAAGGCACAACTATGAGGAGCATCCTAACCAAAATATATATTAAAATCTGATCATTTAGTAAAGGAAGTATGATGATTTCATTCATGTAGAATTTAAACGAAGCAGATGAATATGGGAGGAAAACGAGAGAGGGGCAAACCATAAAACAGACTTACTACAGAGAACAAACTGAGGGTAGCTGGAGGGGAGGTGGGCAGGTGGATGGGTTAAAGGGGTGATGGGTATTAAGGAAAGAACTTGTGATGAGCACTGGGTGTTAGATGTGATGAATCACTAAATTCTATTCCTGAAACTAATATTACACTATATGTTAATGGACTGGAATTTAAATAAAAATGTGAAACAAAAAAAATAAAACCAAAAAGAAGTATGTTCTAAGTATTAGGGGTGACTTTGCAGAAAAGGCACTTATTACACACATTGTGTGTTTACAGAAACTAAAAACTCACACATGAAGTTGATTTTAGTTCTTTCGGGTAGCATTAACTTTTGGGCATTAGACACCATCCGAATTGAAAAAAATCTTAACATTTCAACTGAAATTGGCCTATGATATAACCTGTAGTGATAGGCACACATATTTTCATAAGAGATTTTAACTGATGAGTTGTTTTTAATTTTTGAAAATCTTAATTATAGCAGTTTCTAATAGATTAATTACATATATTTGATTTGCACATGAATATTTGTGTGTAATGCAAAAGAACATGATACAAACACATAGTGGCATTTTTTAATGATGGAATTGACAAATATCTCTCATACTCATTGTGCGATACTTTTAATCTTTTCTTATATTTGATATTTTCTTATATGAAGGAATTAAAGCCTTGTGTACTTTGGTTGCAATCATTGGTACAATAGTTCATCCCAAGTTTGTCTTAAGCATTTTCCTGAGATACTTTTTGCCTGAATCTTTATTGTCTTTGGGATCATATTTAAGGGGAAAAATGCAGTATGTGGTGTATAAAAGCACCTTTTCTTGCTTGGGTAGAGAGGAACATAAATTGTACTGGCAAACACAGGGTACCTCTTTTCTAGATGTAACAAATGTGTTCAAACTGTTGGAAGGCTGGGACTGGGGGTTTTATTTCTGTACCCTAAGCCCTTAGTTTATAATATGGGTCCAGAAATAATTATGGAACAATTAAGGATAAATACAGGCTCAAAGTTACATGTAACTTAGAAATTATTAAAAAATAAACTTTAACAGTTTGGATATTTTTTAAAGGAGTCATTTAGTTTTCTTCATATTTTCTAATATATTTTAATTTCTAAAAAGACAATAGAATCTAGACCTTGATTCCATGAACACGGATTTTAAATCGCCCAACATGTCAGTTGGAGGTTATTTCCAATGAAGATATTTCCTTCTTCCACTAGCTGAGAGATATGTATGTACTTAAAAAATATGAGTGACTGTCCAGAAAATAAAGCATTAACCTAAAATTTATGTTTCTATACCAGTGGTTTAAGTATGCTAACACACACATTGCTGGGCCCCAGGTTAGAGTTGCTGATTCAGCAGGTCTGTGCTGGGGCCTGAGAATTGGCACCTAGAGCAGGCTCTCAGGTGATTCTGATCTGCTGGATTAGAAGCTGTGCTTTGAAAACCCCTGGTATATGGGGTTCAGTGGGTTAAGTGGCCAACTTTGGCTCAGGTCATGATCTCATGGTTCACGAGTTGGTGAGTTCAAGCCCTGCATCTGGCTCTGGGCTGACAGCTCAGAGCCTGGAGCCTGCTTCAGATTCTGTGCCCCCCTCTCTCTCTGCCCCACCCCGGCTCATGCTCTCTGTCTCTCTCTCTTAAAAAATATACATTGAAAAAAAGAAAAAGAAAAAGAAAACCACTGGTACAGAATAAGGCTCTACATAGCAAAATGAGTTTGCTCTTTGTGTCATTCACTTAGTTTTATAGAGAGAGGACCTCTACAGCCACTTGTGCCTTAAAATCCAGACATCTGCCCCCAAAACACAAGCCCTTGGTAAGCCAGAAGATATTTAAGAATATATGGAGGACTAATAAGGCAAATTCTTTGCAACTATAGGGGGAAAATAATGCTTCGTAGAGCTTATTCAAGTGATATATCAGTAATGGCATATTCATAATTTTAATGTATTCTCATTTTTAAAAAAATTTAATGTTTACTATTTATTTTTTTAGAGAAAGACAGAGTGTGAGTGGGGGAGGGGCAGAGAGCGAGGGAGACACAGACTCAGAAGCAGGCTCTAGGCTCTGAGTTGTCAGCACAGAGCCCCATGCGAGACTCGAACCCACAGACCGCAAGATCATGACCTGAGCCAAAGTCAGATGCTTAACGGACTGAGCAACCCCGGTGCCCCATTGTGTTCTTATTTAGTTAATCCTCTTGTATAACATAGTATTAAAGTTGAACAAAGAAAATCATGTGATCCTCTAGACTACTGATTACTCAATCACGATACCATGTTACACATTTCCCTGTGTGGGAGCTTCCTTCCTTGCTAATGAACAACATACTTAGACTCCCTAGAAATCAGAGCCAAATATAAGATTTCAGAGATTTGGCATGAGTTACTGACTTAATGTAACCCTAATATCAGTAGCATCGGCAGCCCTATTTTCTACCCGGTGCGTGAGGCTCCTGCCACACAGTCCCCATTAACTGTAATTGACGTTGTACAGCTGATTTCCCTCCTGAACGATAATTCTATAAATCTGCCTCTAAGTGGCAATATATCTTACCTTTGCACACTTTTCATTTTAAAACGAATAAGATCCAGAGATAAATTTTAAACAAGAAAGCTATCCTATCTGTCTTGAATTTGCAAGTGTTCATGCAAGCAGAATAAATGCAAAACCAAGCTGAAAGTTTAACGTGATTTGAGACACAGACTTAACTATATAGATACATATAAGATATATATAAAGATATATATAAAGATAAAGAAGATATATATAAAGATTCATCTGCTTAAGTGTATGTGAAAAAAGTCTTGTATCAAGTCGAATTATGGGTGACATATGTGTGTTAATATCTGTAACAAGTTGTTTACACTTTAACAAAGTGAAAGATTTTCTCATGGTATAAATTACTACGTTTGCATTTGTATATTATTCATTTGCTCAATACTGCTATCAGGTTTAATCTAATTCAGTAGATGTTAATGCATCAATATCTTATTAATTTTCAAATACAAAAAAAATGCCAGAAACTTTATTTACAAAGTCTTATAATGAAAATTGTTAATATTTTTGAGTGCTTACTTAAATGCCTTATATGTGTTACCTCATTTTTAAACCTCTAAATAAAACTTAAGTGACTTGCCCAAAGTCTCACCCATAAGTATTAAGGCAAGGGTGAAAAATAAGTGTAATCTGAGCACAGAATCTACGCTCTTCATGACTACTTCATGCTGCACCTAAAAATTAATAATTGTTCTAAAATCTCACAGAATTTACTTTTTATTTGTTGAGTGCATGTGGATTGCATGGTGCTAACAGATAGCCACATTATTTCTAGGTGGTAAGATGTTTTTGCCCTCAATGAGGGTAGCTTGTGGGTAGAAGTTTCTCTGATGGTCACACAAGTCAAAAGCTATGGATACTTCAAATATATTGCCGTGTTGGCATTCAGTGAGTTCATGTTATTACATCTCTAAAATGCCATGTAGATGATAAGATGAAAATTCTACCATAGGTGTTCCAGATCCAGAGTTATGCCAGGCTGTTGAGTAAGTTCTATTTTTTAACCTTCCTACAAGTGGTTAGCTGCAAACTGGCTCTAGCCAGGTTATCCACGTTGGTTCTTGTGCAGAAATTATTTCTTGTCACTGGAGGGGCACCTGGGTGGCTCAGTCGGTTAAGCATCTGAATTTTCATTTCACTCAGTTTGTGATCTCTCGGTTTGTGAGTTTGAGCCCCATGTTGGGCTCCACACTGATACTGTGGAGCCTGCTTGTGATTCTCTCTCCCTCTCTCTCTGCCCCTCCCCTGCTCATGCTCTCTGTCTCTCAAAATAAATAAACCTAAAAAATTTGATTGTTACAAAAAAAATTATTTTTTGTCACTGGACCTTTGGCCCATATTCAAAAACAAGAGTTGAAAATTAGAAGCCATTAGGTGATATTGGCCTTCAGATTTACTTTTTGTTTGTTTTAAGTTTGTATAGGGTTTTAAAGAATTAGAATTTGATTTAGCTAAGATGTATACTCTTCAGGTTAACATTGGGCCCAGCACTACATATTTCACCTGACTATCTCACATATTCAAATTTTATGCCTCGTCTCTAAAGACTCTATCCGATTTTAACACTTGTTTAAAAATTAGTTTTATTTGTAATGCTCACATCCATCCAGAAGTTCTATGCTAGTAGGCCACAAATAAAAAACAAAAAGTCACACTTTCGTAAAAGAAGAAATGACGATCTCTTTATTCCCTAATCATTGTGAAGCAATCAAATGATTACATAGCAATGCTTTCTGGAAAGGTAGGATGAGCAGTTTTACATATTTACCTGACAAGAATCTATTCCTCCTTCTTCGTAGCCTGCACATACCATATTTTCTGTAATGTTATATTCTGGCATCTGTTGCTGGCATTTCTCGTTTGATAGAAGAGGAACATTAGCTTCTTGTAATATGTTTGCAGTAGGACCTGTTCAAAATGGTAATGCAGCCAGCCAGTCAGAAGTGATCGACATGCATCACTGAATGAGCCACCATCAGTCTTATTTATTCCAACAGTTCACTCTCATTATCGAGTACTGTGTGTATATATAATGGAACTAAATGCTAAACCTTAGTATTTTAAAGCACATAATAAAGCCCATCTGTGGATCTTGCCAAATGGATAACAGTAAAGTACTTCTTTAGTGCCCAAGGGCTAGCAGGAATGGTGGATTGGACTAGACAGTCTTTAGGCATTTTCAGTATTTGTAAATGGTTACAGTATTGCTCATGGGGAAAAAAGCCCACCAACACAAAACGTTTCATTTACAGAAATTAGCAACAACTCAGAAATCCAGGAGGCTTTTCATTTGGCACCTGAAGAGGTGCTCCCTCATAATGGCATTCAGCAACTTTGTGATGCTATGTGAATGAGCAGGTGCACACTGAGCAAAAGACAAAGCTCAAATGAGCTGTGCCCTGGTCTAAGGGCAATCAGCTTGTCATCCACGTGCAGGTGAAGAGAAAGGAGGCGTTTTGTAACAGAGTGTATTTCCATGCTTTTTATAAAATGACTCATCTACTGCAAGCATGGATCTCTGTTTACTGAAATACTACTCCCAAGAGGGATGTGAAACAAGCAGGTGTCTGTCTAGTGCCTCAGAAAAGGCACATGATAAGCACTTTGTACTAATTAGCAATTCTATTTGGTTCCTCAAGAAAGGCAGAAGGTTGATGATAACTTAGCGCATATGACAGCTAAATGTATGTGACTTCATATGTTGCAGTAAATGTTGCCGCAAAAATGTATGTGATTTCATTTCCAGCTAAGTTTAAGTTTAATCCACACACTAAAAAGACAGGAAACAAATGTGCGTGTGTGTGTGTGTGTGTGTGTGTGTGTATGACTCAGTGGTGTGTTTAATGTTTAACAACTGGTTTTCAAGAAAAAAATCCCCGATACATATCATTTGCTTGATGTAAACACTCCAACCATGACCAATTTCAAGGTACCAGCATGACAGTGAACAGGAGTTGGGAGGAGATATGCACAAACGGCAATTTCTGGCTGGTGCCGGTGACTCCAACAGCATACCACTGGTTGACTTTTGAAGTCTGACAATAGGTTTTGAAAGGTGAAGATGGAGAGGCACCTGGGTGGCTCAGTCAGTTAAGTGTCCGACTCTTGATGTTGGCTCAGGTCATGATCTCATGGTTTATGAACATGGAGCACTGTGTGGTTGAGCCCCGTGTTCTGGGCTCTGCACTAACAGCACAGAGCCTGCTTGGTATTCTCTCTCCTGTTCTCGCATTCCCTACCCTGCCTGCTCTCTCTCTCTCTCTCTCTCTCTCTCTCTCTCTTTCTTTTAAAAAAATTTTTTTAAATGTTTATTTATTTTTGAGACAGAGAGAGACAGAGTGTGAGTAGGGGAGGGGCAGAGAGAGAGGGAGACACAGAATCTGAGGCTCCAGGCTCTGAGCTGTCAACACAGAGCCCGAGGCAGAACTTGAACTCACAAACCACGAGATTGTGACGTGAGCTGAAGTAGGATGCTTAACCAACTGAGCCACCCAGGCGCCCCTCTCTCTTTCTCTTTCAAATAAACATTTAAAAAATTAGTAAAAGAGGTGAATATGGAGGAGGAAATTCAGCATCTCAATGCCATTCATTCATTGAAGATGGACCAGGAGTTTTTATTGTAAACTATTATAAAGTCAAAGGCAATTTTGCTACTTGTCAAGGAACAAAAAAATGGTTGGGTCTAGGACAAACTCTTCGGTAAAGAAAAATTTGAGCAGTATTTTTATATTTAATATTTATTTGTCAACGTGAATTGCCATTAGGATAATTAAGAATGCACACAAAAAGACATACATAAAAATATCAGTAAAGTTATTTTAAGTTTACTAATTGCCTTAATTTAGTCAACTAATATCACTTCATTTCTTCCTAGTAAAGCAATGTTCATGGTTTTCCTAGATGATTAGTGTAATATATTCAAAAGGTGGAAGGGAACTGGGTTTTACACAACTAGGTATCTGGAAATCATAAGGCAAAATTCATAAAATTCATTAAAATTTCCATTACCCAGGAAGTATTTAATTATGACCTCACCATTTATTCCTAAATGAAACTGATCACAGATGCAGATTTCCCTTGGCTCCATACCACTCTTAGCGACCTTTCTTAAGCCAATTAAATGCATATCTTTAGTAACAATAAATAAATGAGTCAAGTTTCCTCAGCTCTTAAAAGAAATACCCATTTCCTATGGAATAAAGAGTCTTAAACTTTGTTAGTGGATAATTTGTTTTTGAAGAGTCTACATCATGGTCATAAATGTCTTTTAGTTTGAAGTCTGATAGAGAAAATATCTATCTAGGAATCATTTTTACTCTGTAGGCTTCAAATTTAATAAATCATGGCATTTTTCAAGTGGAGGAAATACAAGAATATACAGTCTTTGACTTCAATATACTTTATGGACAGAAGACATGAGGCATTTCAGCAACATAATGTAATTATAGTGGAGAACCTTTGTCGAAATCATTAGGCAAAGATTTGACTTAGAACATCATCCTTTCTTTTACAAGGAATATGGGAATTTTAACTCTGGATGCTTTGCTTCTGGTATCTGCATCTCTCCACACGATTTTGTGGCTTTTCATCTTGTACGGTTAAGATTTTTAAATATCTTGGCCACGATCTGTTGGGACTCAAGAGGCCTGGTTCTTCCACCAGAGTATATAGTGCCTTTCCTTTTTGCTTAATATTTAATAAGTTGCCAAAATTCTGTCCTAGATGGAATAACTCCTATTAGGAATCCAAAAGCAACATGCCTTGTAGTTACATTTAGAGAGAATAAAGTACTGGAGTGTTTTAAAAAATATGTTCAGTTAGTTTTAATATGCATCTTTTCTGTGTTTGGAAAACATCTTATTAAATAATGCTAACGAGTCAATTTATAGTCTTCAGTGTAAGATTTATGCCACATCTGAATTTGCTCATCAGTAGAGTGAGTCAGAATGTTGAAGTTAAAAGGGATTCGTTTCTCATTTCTTAGGGAATGTGAGTATGAGGCCTTTATGTGATAAATGAAGATAGTTTTATTGATTTGGAAAATGAAACAGGTAATAATTTGGCTTTTGATCAGACTTTATCTATGTGATTTACAAAAGTAAATTTTATAACCTTTGTAATGTTCATTTAAATAAATGTATCTTTTCTCTTTATCAGAGTATTTATAATACTAAAATTACATACTAAGTTTGGGGAATGCTTGAACTCTCTTCCAAAAATATAGTTTTATAACATGTTCTACACAACCTGGATTAAAATATATATATATATATATATATATATATATATATACACAAATACACACCATATGAATATAAACCTGACAGTGCTTTTAAGAGCTATTGCAAAACTTGTTATAAGAGTTTCAAAAAATATTGAAAATATTCACAGGATAGTGCAATAGCATACTTCTTAGTAGTAGACATTTTCTTTTTATTGAGTCTGGTAATTTACCTTGATGTATAAGCCTCCCCCAGCCAGCAATGGAACAAATTCTTCCTGGAGGAAAAACGTGATTTTCTTCCAGTAAACAAATAGGTTGTATATAATCTGGAAAAACAGAATAAGAACAGACACACATGCATTTCTAACAGATTTTAAAAATCAATTATTTTCAGCACGTTATCTAAAAAACCTGTATTTTTGTTTTTGTTGCTTGAACATTTTTTAGACATCAGTCTTATGGGAAAGAGGCATCTCCAGGAGGCACTCTTTGATAATGGACTAGGTATCACTAGTGGTCTTTTTGGGATCTTTTTCTACATTGTATCCTAATTACTCTTTAATAATGTAAACAAGGTCTTAGTTCTAGAGTTGGTCATTTATATTTGATTTTAAGTAATCATGCTATTTACAGTGTCCGTTCTGTAAAAATCTGGGTATGGCTCTTCTTTAGGGTCAATTAAGACACTTGGACAAATGTTCTGATTTTCCCCAGTTATCTCCACATTTAAAAAAGCTTTTAGGTGATTGTTTTACAGGGTACTTATGGAAGCATTAGCATTGGTCACTGACTTTTAAAGCCCCTTTCCAACAATTTACAAGCTGCCTGACATTTATTAAGCACCCACTACATGTAAGACCCAGGGCAGACACAAAAATGAGTAAGATATGGTGCTTACCTTCAAGGACAGGGCTACATAATTAATAGTCTGCCTTTAATAAGTGCTCTAATGTGTGTGTAGACCAAATTCCAAAAGAGCACAGAAATGGTAGCACTTTCTCTTCACTGGGGGTTGGAAAAGTCTTTGGAGTAAAGGATGGAGTTGAGCAGAACCCTTCGTGTAAAGTTCACTCCCTCAGATGATTTCTAGCATGTTATCTAGGTATTTGGAGGAAGTCTTCCAGCTGCCACTCTATTAATATTGTTGAAACTCCTTTAAAATCTTCATTCTATGGATATTTTAATTTTTACTCACTTTACTCTTAGAATATATGTTCTTCTCTGTTTGTCCTACACTGCTGTTTGTGGTAGATGGACCTGCCTTTCTTTGAGAAATACAGAAGGCATGCATTGTAATGACCTATTTTCTCCCAGCTGCTCCTTTGAGTTTACTATTACAGAGAGCTTGGAATGTTTTATTCTGCTGGCCAACTTTCTAGAAAGTTGGATTTAGACACCTTGATGAAGATAATTGAATATGTTCCACTCCATTCCCCAATTCCATTTAAGTTATAATGATTTCTATAACAAACTATCCAACTTTTATGCACTATTAATTCATTGGTACTAATAATATTTCAAATCTAACTTTGAATGCATTTGGCCAGATAAGATGACTAAAACTGATTTCTTTTACCTGTGTAGTTCACTTTAAAATCCAGATGCATCATGGCGATGTCACTGTCCTTTATTCGTTTATTGTAATGTGGGTTTATGACAATTTGATCTATCAACCGAGTTACTATGTGAGGAGAAGTCAGATTCGATGTCATCTGCAGTCCTAGGATTGCTTTCCACTTAGATGGCTCTACATTTCTCCTGAAGATTATGAAAAAGACATATAAGGAACTTTCCATCCACCAGTTACTTTCTACAGATCTTCGTAGTAGGTATTTCAGAACTATGTGTGCCCATCCTAAAATATGCTTGAATTTCTCTGAACCAGTCTTTAAAAACATTCCTTTAACTTTTATTCTTCTGATCAGATCATAGAAAGAACTTCAGTTAGTGCTAATTTCTATCACTTATCTTAAATCCTCTCGATCTCTAGCTCGATTGTGGTTCTCAACCTCAGTTTCACAATAGAATCACCTGGAGTATTTTTAAAGAACACTGTCGCCTGCTTCCCTTTCTCTATCTCTGATTTTATGAGTCTAGAATGGAGAGAGGACTTTAAAAATATATATTATTTTTACATTAAATCTCTACGTTTATCCTAACATATGGCCACGTTTGGGAACCACGCCTTAGATCACATTCCACTGTAGAGATTGCATCTTGGTCCAGGGTTTCTTCAGGCAACCACAACAGCTATGGTAGTAAGGGAAAGGGGTTTCAGGAGAACTCTCCTGTTTAGCGGCTCACTGAATTTACACACAGTTAAAATCAGCAAATAAAACCTATTGTGTTGCTTACAATCTAACCTAAAAAGTTGAGTAATTTTCATATGCAACAAAGTTGAAAAATTTTCCATACGTAATGTCCTTTAATAATGTATTGGTCAAGGCTAACATTTGTGTTATATGCAGATGAAGTTACAGTTTGAAAGTGTGCAGGGACTTCTAAATGTGCTTTTGGCCTGCAACATCTTCACACCAAGAAACTACTAGTGAATAGCTAGAATTAAGCCATTTAAGCCATATTCACAATGAAGTCAAAATTCAGTAACTGCAATTTTAGCAGAGCTAGTGATTTAATTCTTCATAGTTACAAGTGCCTCGTTTAATGTGGCATTTCAACTGTTAGAATCCAAATCACTTACAAATACACAAAGGGCATGAAGTTATTTCAAGTCCGTTTGTTCACCTTTTTACCTGTCTATTCATTATTTTGTTTAAATTAAACAAAGGATCATGTTTGATTAAGTCACAGTCATCAGTAAAGCCAATGAATGCCCAAGCATCCAGGCGACATCCACGGATAACCACACTGCATTAAAATCAGAGATAACTTGCTCACATACTTTATAGCAATAGCCTAACACCCATTTATGGGCAACTTATTTTGTGCCAAGGCCAGTGCCCTGTACTTCGCATCAACTCTTTTCATTTTTGCTTCAGTGCTATGGATTTTACAACGAGAACAAACTGGGTACTGACAGTTTACGTGGTGGGGCAGAAACTTGAACTGGGGCTGTCTGACCTCAGAGGCTGCATCTGCACCAGCATACTGGGGTGCCTCCAGTGGCCATGGGTAGGGTTCTGTGGGCAGGGTTGAGAACATGAGGGTAGGGTTGGGAGAGAGACAGGATCTGCCACTGAATTATCTGGGCTCAGGTAGGGAGGATGTGTCTGCTCTTAGGGGCTGGTGATAGCTCCTTACGTGCCCAGATGTCGGGCCAGGAGGGTATTATGGTGCTGTAGAGGCCCTGTTTGCTTGTCAAGAGGGCTTTTTGATTCTTCCTGTCTGGGTCAGAGGAATCATCAGTACTGACTGGACTGGTCAAACTGGACACATTGATGTTTTCAGACATTCTGCCTGCACGCACTCCCACCGTACCCTGGGACTCCCCTGCCCACACTGGCCTACTCAAAGACGGGATAGAATGAAATCTCTTTCCTGGTGTCCTATCTCTAAACTTCTTGCTGTATCACATATTTAAACATGTTTCCTAAAGCTCAGCTGGTCATGGTTGTCTCTTGATTAGTATACCTGTTACGGTTGATGGGTAACAGGTAGCTACTCTTTTTTAAGAATTGTGTTTTTTATTAAACATTTAATATATACCTGATATTTACAAAAAATTGATTTCACAATTACCACACCATGTTTCTTACTTTACATTCAATTATATCTACTTATACGCTTTACATTTGGCATTATCATTATATTTTACATAAACAATGTGTAATATTAATATTTCATATCATAAATAATATTAATCACATTAATGGTATCATGTTGAAAAAATAACTATCAAAATCTGCTCAAAAGGCGTATGAGCCCATTACAGAGGTTCAATTTTAAAGTTGCCAGAATGTATTTATTTTCAAAAATGATAGGATTGTCTTCTTAAGTGCTTTCTACATATTTTATCTTCAGCAAAACTTACATGAAAGTTCAGACAGATAATGCAGTTATTCGCTATAGGTTTAACTCAATGATAAAATAATGCAGTTCCGTAGCTAACCTCCCAAATTCTGTTCTTTTTTCTTTTTTTCTTTTGAGAACGAGAGAGAGGGCACAAGTGAGCGAGGGGCAGAGAAACAGAGAGAGAGGGAGAGAGAGAGACAAGAGGGGCTCACCCAAAGCAGGGTGGGAGCTCACCTGATGCAGGACTCAAACTCACGAACCATGAGATCATGACCTGAGGCAAAGTCAGATGCTTAACTGACAAAGCCACCTAGATGCCCCTAACCTCACAAATTCTTGTCTTTTATAAGTACTATACTCCTTCTGAGAACAATAAATATTAGTTACTGATATGAGGGAGCTTGCAGGCAGCACAAAGCTTAGTAATCACCATTTTGTCTTGTTATTTTAAGGTTTGAAGTAGAAAACCAATCCATGATGCGTGAACTGTGAAAATTAAACATACATGCTTCAAGCTACTGGTCTAATTAAATGCAAGTTACAGCAATATTAATCTGACACATTCTTAATGATTTCTGAAGTTGTTATAGCACTACACAGAAAATAGCCTTTTTTTCATATTTTTATTTCTCCTGTATCTATAGACCGTACTATAGGAACGAGATACCCCTCCAACTTATCATTTGCATTTCTCCCTCAAGTCTTACTCCACATAGCTTTTCATGTCTATGTGCTTAGCTTCCCCACCACAAGCCCACATCAGCACAAGCACCATTAGAACAACTACATCCTATTGCAATCTTAGTGCCTTCTCTCAGAAGAAAGGCTTGAGAATACAGAAGTTATAGCCAATGGTACTCAATTTTATGTATCACCTGAAGAATTTTGCTAAAAATCTTGATTCCTAATTTCCACTTCCAGAGATTCTAATTTGGAAAGTTGGAGTGGGACTCAAGAATCTGCCCTTTGTTATTACTGTTGGGATAGTGAGCAATACAGAATCCTCCCTGGCTTTTCCATTCACCCAAAGCTAAGACAGAGAAAGAAAGGCCTCAGAAAAATCAGTGTAGATGAGGAAGGGGTACTTATTATGTTTTATATTTGTCTGAAAATATCTGCATTCTAGTGAAACAAGAAAAAGCTATAGGACAGAAGACAGGTGCGGATGGAACAGGAAATAGCCCATTGGATAGGCAAGTCCCAATCTGGCACAGACTAAAGAGGGCAGAAGTGAGTACCTTAAGGTGGGGGACGTTGGTTGAATTTCTGCTGCATTTTGCCTGTGCCTGCCTTGTTCAAGCGAAATATGTTTCTTAGTAGCAAAAGAAAGAAGGGCACAGGTTTGGGGGCAACAGAAAGGCATGTATTCTTGACTTCTATATCCTCAAAGACTAGCACACTTCCTGGTGCACAGTAGGTGCTCCTTCGATGCTGCACCAGATGGGAGGACTAGCACTATGCCCACTCTAGGTTGCCATGTGCTGGTGTATAAATAAATTCCCAACTCAGAGTATGGGACTTTCATTGTGGTAAAAAGTAAATATGGTGAGACAGTTATGATAGAGCAAGATGATATGCCGAAAGGAAGAAAAATCAGTGGGAACCTGTAACTCTGAATTGCAATAGTTTTCTGTTCTACCATTAGCAAAGATGGTACTTTAGTCAAGTCCACCCATGGCCAACCCCAATGTTTACCCCCAGCACAGCATTTTAGGTCTCTATTATTATTCTCCACTGAATGGAAAAAAGATTCCCATGAGGATACCCAATTCCATTTTTTAAGGCAAGGAAAAAGTAGAATGCCTCTGAAATATGGTGCTGTCAGAGAGTAAGAAAGTCTTCAAGGAATAGAGCCCAAAGGTCCATCGACTGATGAATGGGTAAAGAAGATGTGGTAGATATATATACAATGGAATATTTCTTAGCCATCGAAAAGAATGAAATGTGATCTAGATGGCATAATGCTAAGTGAAGTAAGTCAGTCAGAGAAAGACAAATACCATGTGATTTCACCCATATGTGGAATTTAAGAAACAAAACAGATGAGCATAGTGGGGGAAAAAGAGAGGCAAAGCAGAAAACAGACTCAACCATAGAGAACAACCTGAGGGTGGATGGAGGGTAGGTGGATGGGGTATGGGCTAAATGGGTGATGGGCATTAAGGAGGGCACTTGTTGTCATGAGCACTGGGTGTTGTATGTAAGTGATGAATCACTGAATTATACTCCTGAAACCAATATTACACTGTTTGTTAAATAACGGGAATATAAATAAAAACTTGAAAAAAGAATGTTTTCAAGAATATCAGGGGTAATTTTAAAAGAAAAGAGGAGCTAGGTTAAATGGGATAATACTGGTCAGTTTTAGTACTTTAAGTATCATATGGCATCATAGTAATATTGAATAATGATTTATTTCAATAAGGAATGAAATAAATGTATTTGGTCATCTCTAAAGAGCTAAATTAAAGAACGGGAGATTGGCAAGAGGCTTCTCTATGGATAATTTCATTATTGATGTATGTCAATTTAATAGCTGTGATCCAGAGTATAAATCTATATATACCTGTCCACCCAAGAGGCTGAGTAGTGGTTGCTTCTGGAAGCAGGGATGGTGATTGGGAAGGGGGAATAAGAGAATTCTGCATGTGATGGAAAGTTTCATGTCTTGATAGGAGTGTGGGTTACACAGGCATATGCCTCTTCAAAACTCATCAAATTGTGCACTTAAGATTATGCAGTTGCTCTCTGTCAGTGGGAAAAAACAAGTATTAAACTCTAGGTGGTGAGTTTGCTTAACGGCGGCAGGGTTAGCAATTCTCAAACTACTTGTGTTCTAAGCTTGAACAAATCCATAAATATTTTGTGGATGGTGGGCACAGGTTTCTCATTATTGGAGATGAGCTAGAATGCATCTTGCGGCAATCTATTTTCATTGGAGCTGTCACCTGAGTTCATATTTATAGGTATATGGCTGTATCTATTGAGAGGGTCTAGGAGCTCGACACACCAGCAGTAGCAAGGAGCACACAAGACCTTGTTTGTAAAACGTAGAAGAAACTAAAATTACCTAAACAGAACTGGGATTTCTTAGAAAGTTTGATTTGAGGACTGGGGGGAAGAAGCCCAAAATGAACCGGGAACATCTTATTTTGCAGAAAGTAAAGAAATTCTCAAAGAATGGACATACATCAAGACCAACGTGGGGGCAAGCTTAAAGGGTTTCACCAAATATGAGGACTTTCTATAAAATAACTTGCTGTAATAAAAAATATCAAAGACAAGAAAGACATAAAGATAGCAAGCCTGGCAGAAAGTCTATTCCAGATTGAAAAAGATGAAAGAGTTATAGTAACTAAATGCAGTGCATTATCCTGGATTGGTTCTTGGGTGGCAAACAGACAAACAAACCAGGAAGGTTATAAAGGGCATATTTAGGACAGTAGACAAAAATGAACACATATTATAGATCAGATAGTGGTATTGCATTAATGTTAAATGTCCATGACTTTCTGTGATTATGTAGGAAAATATCCTTGTTCTTAGTAAACATACAGAGTAAAGGGGCACAGTGTCTAATACACTATAAAGAGATTCAGAAAATAAATATTTCTCCAGATTGGAGAGAATGAAAGAATATTTCTCCAGATTGGAGAGAACGATAAGAAAGTTTTCATAGCGTAAAATGTAAGCAATTGATGAATCTCAGTGAAGGTACATAAGAGTTCTCTGTGCTAGTATTTGCAATTTTTGTTTGTGTTTGAAATTATAGCACTATAAAAAGTTTAGAAAATAAATATGCTGAATGTCTCCTGGGCAAGAATCAGACTCTGGACCTTTTCTGCACAGGAACAGCAGGACAATAAAATTTTTATTGCACATTTATGTAATTCACAGTACGCAGAAGTATTGCATCATCTTACTTTTGTCCTGATAATCACTCTAGGGGGTGGGCATCCTTAGGAACCCCCTGTGGGTGAGGATACCTAAACAGAGATACCAAGTCACATGAAGTCAGTAGCGTGAGTAGGATCAAAATTCTATCCTCTGGTTTAAAGTCAACCTTCCTTTTAAGGCACAGTAAAGTTGGTCCATACTCTCCAAATCTCTGTTTTAAGGTTGGAAAAGAAGACAAATCGGTGACAGAGAAAAAGAACAGGCATAAGGAAGCTTAATGACATCCAGGAACACTGTGGCTGATGGATGGGAATAGGAGCGTGGACTGTGGTAGACAGAGAAGAGCTGTCCAATTAAACCATTTAACCACCTGCAGATTAAAACGCCTGGACCAGGTTTGCATTTTTTGGGAAAGAAGAAATAATACAACTGAATGGGTAAGGAGAGCAAAATGCAAGGTTGGTGAGGATGAGTTTGAATTCATCACAATTCTATTACAGTTTACACTTGTTTGCTTGTGTTCCAATTGAAGCTGTGTGAAAAGACATTTTATGTCCTATATAACTAAACATGTGTTTATAGTAGACCAAACTGCTTTTCTATTTCGTTTGAATATTTGTGGTTTAAAAAGCTATGATATTGGTATCATTGACCTACAACAAGTGCATCTGTAAGGTAGACAAATGAAAGATGCCACTAATATTACTGTAAGCCTGGTTGACATTTAGAAAGCATATGTTCTGCAAGAACATCAAACGGACTAATTTACCAAATCCAAGGTTAATATGGGAGGTTGCTAACTTAATAAGACCCATCTCTGTGCAATAGAAAACAATGAATCTGTAGGTAAAGATACCTTTCGCTTGTAAATTGGGATATAGGTTACCCACCTGTGGCATCTGAAGGTATAGGTTATGTACAGGTAAAAGTTAAATTCATGTTTAGCAGGGGATGGGAAAATATTGACTGCTATGGACATTTTTTTGTGGTGTGGCTGAAAACAGATTAAAATATTATTATCAAGAGGCAGCAGAGTCACGAAGGTGCAGTTTAGCTATGGGACAGGCTGTAGTTTACTCATCTAGATACAGGGTGCGATGCATAGAATAGAGAGCTTGGATGTAGATGGGCAGTAACTTGGGTAGTCCTTTTGGAGCCCAGGTGATTAGTCCAGCTCTGGCTATGGGTCCTTATTTCAGATTCCTCGGGTTCTGAGTTCAAGTTTGCCCTCACACTGGTCCAATGGGATCAATCCTTTAATACTCTGCTCCCCGCCCCCGTCTCCCAAACAACTATCATAACCTGCATCTGACAATTTGTCTCCATCCATCAAAGAACTTTCACTATCTGGGTTGGTAGGGAGTTAGTCTTTTGATCTGATTATAGCTATATCTTACATACCTGAGCACACATGCTTCATTTCTCAGAGATTCTGGACACTGGCACAGAGGCTTATTCTAATCCTCATAACTCAGGCCATTCTCTGGAGGTTCCTTTTACTCAATTAAGGTCAGTAAATTACCTTAGGATCAGGGCTTATGAATCTTCTATGAGGAAGCTACCTTTTACTTGGGCCTAATTCAGAAGTGTCAGAATAAGACTACCTAAGAAGGTGCCTTCTTTCAGGCAGAAGCAGAGAATTAACACGTTCTTGGGCCCAAGAATAGTTCTTTTCTCCTCCTTTTCTCCCCGTCCCTCCACTCTCTCTGTTTTTTCCCTGTGGCACTGCTTTGCGAATGGCTGCTTCTAGAAGGAGAAGACAGATCCTAGAATTCAACATGTATTTTGTCATACTACATAACAAAAAAAGAGTTAGATATGGTTGATATTGTTTCTAAGATTCAGTTATGGGTAGCATCAAACTAGATGTGACTTGAGAAGGAAATATTTTTATTCTAAGTCACAACAAAGTCCTTACCCATGAATTTCTAGAACACAGTTTATTAGTCACTTAAGGGCTATTTGAACGTGCTTTTTTTTTTTTGATACTGACAATTTCTGATGCTATTGGCCTGACTGAACGATAACCAGCACAATGTATGCATTAAATACGAATTTCATGCCTTTAAAAATGCTTACCTTGTGTAGGTATGAATTTCAATTTTCATGTATGTAGGAAACATAATGCTTTATGCAAGTATCTAATGAAGAATTGATTTTTAATTTAGCGTTCTCTATGTTTATATGTGATTTTAATGGGAAAAATGGTACTATATAATGTCAGAATGGCAGGAACATTTCCCTGAGGGGATGATTTTGTGAGGCTGCAGGAAATGGCATGCAGAGTGTCTGCTGTGGTCATCTCATCTGGGAGAAGCCACTGTGATGTCACACTCACCCATACACACAGTGGGCGGCCGACACCAGCCAGTCATCGCTGACGAGAGATGCACCACAGAGCAGTTGGCCGTTGTAATAAAGGGCGACGACCCAGGGCCAGGCTCCTTCTTTGGCATTATTTCCTCCAACAATCTTTGGGCTGACTCGTGGAGTCACTAGTTTTTTCCCACATGCTATTAAAATAAATGAAGACATAAAATAAGTGAATTAAAATAAATCTATTTTATTTTGGTGGATTTCCTTTGCTTAGGAAAATTTAGTGGATCACTACAAAATAGTGATATACCAACTCCATTCGGAATTTTAAATGGAAGGCATGAAGGAAGAAAACATGACAAAATATTTACTTACGTTTTTGGTTACATTGTAACAGAACCAGTGAATCCTGTAAACACTGTTTACTGTAATAGAAGAACAATTATATTTCAGAAAGTGTGCACCTAACATTTTAAAACAAAGTATAGTGTATCTATTTTAATCTTATTATCTTATTTTTTTAGTAGAATTAACCTTCAGATGTAAGTAGGTTATATGAAATGTGGGGACGCTGACACGCACAGCAGGAAAATCCTCAGTTTAGAGTCAAATAGAATGGAGTTTGAGCCCTTAACTCTCTACCACTTACATTTTGTGATTTTGGATAAGTTGTTTAGTGTCCCTGGGATTCAGTTTTGTCATCCATAAAATGGGAGCAATAGTAGTTACTTTGTTGGAGTTTTGTGAGAAGTTAAATAAACTGGAGTTATTGTGCCATACACACAATGAACATTCAATAAATGATAGTTATTGTTAGTTTGCTTGAACCAACCTTGGATATCATCATTCTATAATACAGAACATGTCTCAGTATTGCTAATCAGGTAAATATAAATGCCTCGCATTGTGTGTGAGGCTGTGTACCTCATTCAGAAAATTCACTGATTGATGAATCACAGGCCCTGCTTTCAAGGGAGATAAACATATAAACAGCAAAATATAAGAAGAAGTATAGGCATAAATAATTTAAAAACTCACTACCTGTTTAAATACTTGGATACGAACTTTTTTCAAAGCCAAGAATTCTATGTTAAAAATTTAAACAAAGGAAGAGTTAAAAAATGTGTTATACTTATTGACCACTAGAGATCAGTATAATACAAGGAATTAAAGTACTTTCCCACACTGTTTCCTGATTCTGCCAGGGCAGATACTGGTCACATTGAAACAAGCACATACACACATATATAACTTTAATAATTTCTATTTATATATTTAGCTACATATGTTGTGCATATTACTTAGGTGTTTGAAATTTCAGGTAAAAACAAAACAAAAACACAAAGCAAGACCCAAGATTCGTATGCGATCACAAGTACAATCAAAGCAATTCAGTGTTTCTGGAACATACATGATAAGGCTTATTTGAAAGCACGTGCATTCATACTGTCCAATCGACATATCACTTAGAATAGAAGGTAACTTCAATTGAAATAAAAGAAAATATACTTATATTTTATTAATAAGCAATGTGGATGTGATGTGGGAAACCAAGGCAGAAGGAAATGGTAGATCAAATAAATTTCCTTATAACCTGCAGCCTATTGACAAATGCTCGAGGCAGGGGAGGACAACATTTCTCCAGGAACTCCCTAATGTCTTAATGTTAATGCTTTGCTAGAGACTGACAACAGCTAGGCCTCCATATAAAAGTCCTTTTGGAAACTCCTCATTGCCTTTACTTCCCCCAGCTCCCAAGTATATAATCAGTCACCCTTCACAATCCTGGGGAAGCTCTTCCTGCCCATGGGTCCTGTCCCCATCCTTTTATAAAATTACTGTTTTGCCCCAAAGACGTCTTAAGAATTTTTTCTTGGTCGTGGGCTCCGAACCACCCCCCCCCCCCCCCCCCGAATCCACAACCACATCACACGCATGTATATCCATCTAAATATGGGTATATCAATATATAGTCATAATGAACTCCCCTTCTATTATATACTCATCGTTGGGAGAAAAGCAGTTTCTAGAATGCTTTCCAAGTTTCCAACTTTCAAGTTCATCCAAACTCTTTCTCTATCTATAGTACTCATCAGTGAAAATCCATATTCAAAATGGTTCAGCATTCTTAGATATTAAAGATGCCTAATACTCTGTGGTATGGACAAAACTGATGAAATTCTTTTTAGCAAGCATAGAAAAGCTTAAATAAACTTTTAAAATAAAAAGTAACTATTAAATTAACCAGAAAATGGACCTGAACTTTGCCCCTCATTCTCCATGCATTTCAGCCAGTCAAACTTTTCATGCATAAACACACACATGCAGTTTCTCAGTGTAGAGGAATAAATGCCTTAGTCTCTGGTCAGAATGAGCAGTGACTCCACACTTTGCCCAGGTATATTTAGAGAGATTGGAGGGAAACAGAATTATTGTCCCGGACTTTGGTCCTGGAATCAGAGCTAGGTCAGCCCTCTGGACAGGAAGAAAGACAAGGGCAGGATCCTATGTCTTTCTCTCAGCCCCATTAGTTGAGGGGCTATTGTGATATAAATGGATGGGTTTATATCTATTGTATTGACAAAATAAATGTTTCTCTCCCATATATGCCCATCAACATGGTCTTTTTTCTCGTTGATTGGCTATGCTTTCTCTTTCTTTCTCCTTTCTAGAACTGCTATTTATTTATTTTTTTCTTTTTAGTTTTTTTTTCTTTTTTTTATTATTTGAGAGAGAGAGAGAGAGAGAGAGAGAGAAAAAGAGAGAACAAGGAAGGGGCAGAGAGAGGAAGACAGAGGATCTAAAGCTGGCTCTGCTCTGTCAGCACAGAGCCCAACCTGGGACTTGAACCCACAAACTCAAAATCATGACTTGAGCCAAAGTCAGAGGCTCAACAAACTGAGGCACCCAAGCTCCCCTTCCAGAATTGTTATTTAAAGTGAGCTGTTGCCTTTGGCAATTTAGAAGATTGCAAGGTAGAGTGGAAAATAGAGGAATGTGGGGTTGCCTATGGATTTGTGAGCACGTCCAGGTCATGCTTTAGTTTCCTAGGCCTTAGAGTAGAGTAATACTAAGCATATATATGATAACATAAGCATACGTACAATAACATAGCATATGTACAATAACATAGCACGCATACAATAACATAAGCATACACACAACAGGGACATCAATGATACTGTCATTTTGTTGATAAGCATGGAATAACAGACTTCTGCTCTGAAACATGCACATAATTGAGATGAATTTTGAAAAATATTTTTTCCTTTGTTCTTTTTCTTATCCTTAAAGTCTATAAGATATAAACAAAAGAAATTTTCGGTGTACAAATTGCTTTTGGTCTACAATGCTAATGTAAATTTAAACATGCTTATAGAAGGAAATCTAGAAATCTGCTTTCTCATTTGAAAATGCTTTGCTTCACCCCTTATGAGACTAATAATATCAGTCAAGGCCCAGCAAACATTCATATAAAACATTCAATTGCAAAGTCCTTGGTACTGAAAATACTCCTTTATCAATTTGTTTTACTGGTTGAGCTCACAGATATAACGTTTCATGAATAGCTGAATAATTACATAATTTCATTTTTTACCATTAAGTATGTTATACAAAAAAACCTGCAAGCTAATGTACCAGCAATGGCATCTTAAATCTTTGTCTGTAGTTGTGGCTTCTTCTTTTTTTTTTTTTTTAATTTTTTTTTTTCAACGTTTATTTATTTTTGGGACAGAGAGAGACAGAGCATGAACGGGGAAGGGGCAGAGAGAGAGGGAGACACAGAATCAGAAACAGGCTCCAGGCTCTGAGCCATCAGCCCAGAGCCTGACGCGGGGCTCGAACTCACAGATCTCGCACGAGATCGTGACCTGGCTGAAGTCGGACGCTTAACCGACTGCGCCACCCAGGTGCCCCAGTTGTGGCTTCTTCTTGAAGTTACTCTCTTCCTACCTGCAGCTGGTCTTTCATGGAACTTTAAAATTCAAAAGCCAATCTCAACCAAAAAAAATATCATGAATGCCCAAACAGGAGAAATGACATAATTTAAGATAAAATAGACGTTTGAATACAGGAAGGAGGTTGCTTTTTAAACAGTAGTAAAAATTATAAAAATGAACCTAATTTAAAACTTTTTTTAATGTTTATTTATTTTTGAGACAGAAAGAGAGAGAGACAGAGAAAAAGAGAGAGAGAGAGAATGAGCAGGGAAGGGGCAAAGAGAGAGACAGACAGACAGAATCCAAGTGGGATTCAGGCTCCAAGCTGAGAGCATAGAGACTGACAGGGGGCTCAAACCCACAGACTGCGAGATCATGACCTGAGCCGAAGTCGGATGCTTAAGCTACTGAGCCATCCAGGAGCCCCCAAATAACCTAATTTTAAAGAGCATAAGAGAATATGCAGGCGAAACTAGAAGTCAAGACTCCTTCCCTCAATATTCATGTTCTATTTGCTAAATACCATGACTTTCGCCCCTCTCTTCTCTTTTCTTGATAACTAATTTGTGTCACCCTTTTTAGTCTAACATTGGACCAATTTATCCCAACTCTCAGAATTTTTTTCTTTGGGATTTACTTGTTAATGAATTTGAAGGTAAGGATAGAAAGGGTATAGAAGTAAACTTAGTGAATCTCTGTCTATGTGCTGCACAATTTTATATGCAATATCTCATTTGACTGCCTTACCATATACATGAGGGTTAGATAATGTTATCAAGTAGGATCAGTTAGGTAGTATTTGAGATTATCTGAATAATACAAAAATTAAATAACTTTTAAGATTATATGGCTAGCATGTGGTGGCATTAAAATCTGATTAGTTTTAAAATCTATCTTCTTTCCAGTCCATGTACAAATTAGTCCAAGAACAGATTTTGGGACCCACCTTGGTGTTAGTATTAAGCTGCCATTAGGGGCTGTGTTTAATTTTACAAATGGTCCACTTCCAGTAGAGAAGATTGGCATCGATGAGTTTCCACTCCTAGGGAAAAACACATAGAGACAAAACAAAAACACAAAGAACCAAAACCTTAATTTATAGTTATTTATTGCTGTGGACATTGAAAGAAATGATGGGATTCCATACAAAAAAAAGATGAACATTTTAATATAACCCTTCAAAAGTTTTGCTGTCTAAAAGATGGTACAGATCAGAATCATCCATAATAACATAAAACGTAATTTAAGTTTTTGTGTAATCCCTCTAGTTCTTGTTTTCATGCTCATATATTATTTAACAAAGTTAAAATTCAGTGCGTGCATCACTTGAGTATCTGATTTTTTCATTTGACTCTTCTATGTTCAATAAATTACATAATGATCAATTTTAATAACAACCTCATAGAATTGCTGCACCATAATTTATTAAACTTTTTTCCTGTTGAGTGTAATCCATCTTTTAAAAAATGCATGTTGCCTGAGAACAACCTAGAAAAAGAATGTCTTCAGTGTTTACTTTTCCAAATGTTGCTTTGTTCTCGGTATCTCATTAAATTTAAAGTCTAACAAGCCCTAATTTAAAGCCAGAAGCTACGTGACTGCTCTAAAAAGGGAGTCTGTAGCCTGGCCCTCTAACTCTAAACTCATGGGCCAGCATGAGATGGAGAAAGAGACATTCTGCATGTAACAAAAGACATTAAATTTCTAGTCTTTCTTATCCCTGAAAACATGTTATATATCCACACTCTCCACTGTGAAACTTAACTGAAGATTTCTCTCAATCATCCTGACCCTCTTCCGTAGGTTTAGCTGGAAACATTTAGCTTCTTACTTCCTGATGTTTTTTTCCTGCCTTTTATTTATTCCAGATTTAAATTTTTTTTTTCAACGTTTATTTATTTTTGGGACAGAGAGAGACAGAGCATGAACGGGGGAGGGGCAGAGAGAGAGGGAGACACAGAATCAGAAACAGGCTCCAGGCTCCGAGCCATCAGCCCAGAGCCTGACGCGGGGCTCGAACTCACGGACCGCGAGATCGTGACCTGGCTGAAGTCGGACGCTTAACCGACTGCGCCACCCAGGCGCCCCTATTTATTCCAGATTTTAATCCTTATATAAAAATATGCATTTTGATTGGAAATATCCTGATTCCTGCTAACTTCTGCCGGTTGGCAAGGAGAGGATGCAGTTCTTATCTTTTGGAATAACATGAAGTTTCCACCAACTGCATCTTCAAAAGAAGGTCCAATGTCTTGCCTAGACAGTCCCCAACACTGGCCCTTTTCTGTCTGTGTGTAGGGAATTTCCAAGGGAACACCCATGACTGTTGTGATCAATAAGAAGAAAAGAGGTTGAGAGTGTTTCCTGTCTCTTTCAGATGGGACAGCATCTTAAAAAAAACTGAAAGTGTTTGTTTCGTACCTTTCATCCACTGAACAGAGAACTGGAACAATGGAGCCTGTATTTAATGTCCCAGAATTCAGCATGTTGCACTTTAACTTTATAAACAGATAAAAGTAACTGTAGCACACAAATCAATGACTATTCATTTAATAATACCCGAAATGAATTTGCCAAAGGGAGAATAAGTGCTGTTACTGTTATTGTTAAAGATTAAGATATTCCCTCTAGAGAAAAAGAAGCATCATCTTATTTAAGTATTTATGTAAAATGTATTTGTTATAGTTCAGAAAAACCGAATAGGCATAAGGACTTCACAACAGGCAGGGGTGTAGAGGTCAGAAATGCTCTGCTCAGGAAGGACAATAATGCAGAAACATTATATTTAATGACTCCCATATTTAGGGAAGACAGAGTGTGCATTAAAACAGATCTTAGAGGACTTTGAATTTACCATTGTTGCAGCTTTTGGTAGAATTCATCACACCAGTCTTGGCTTTTCAGACTATCAAGGAATACCTATCCAATTTGAAGAGGCTCTCATGGAGTTGACTTTGCTTGAGGCTTCAGAAACATCCTTAGTATTGGTTGATTGTGCTCAACTTTGCTGCAAGTCTTAGTTACTATCTGTTCTCTCTTTTAGACTCTCTCTTTTATTGTTTTTGGTCATATTGCCAGTGTCCTTATTCTGCTGAATTCCTACATGTGTTGGACATTCTTCTAGGTAGTTTTATATGTTCCTGACTCTCCATGACCAAGGATTTCCAAAGTATGTTCTCCAGGCAAGCAGCAGAGAATATATTAGAAATGCAAATTGCCTAGCTCCACTCCAGACCTACCGACACAGAAACTCTGGAAGTAGGGTCCAGCCATCTATGTGTTAACATACCCTTCAGGTGATTTTGACACTTGGAAGTCAGGGACCCCCTGTCAAAGCCAAATATAATATCTATTTTTATTTGTTCAGGGGGTCTGCTTTTTAGCTTCTGAAATGATTTCTCGTTATTTGATAGGCAATTCATTTTAAGTCACTGATAAAGTTAATTTGTATTTCAGGACCCACAAAATGGAGCCCACTGCAGTGGCCCAGTCCACTTCACAAATCTAAACCTGTCAGCCCACACTGAGGAATGGCCTCATTGTCAAGAAACCCTAATATACACCAATCACAATCTTCCAACTCAGCTTCTGCTGGCTTACTTTACCCTAAAATAAGACCTGCTAGGGTTAACAGAAAATCCTGATCTCCTAGCCAGTCATGCCCCGTTGCCTCTTCTAACAGTCCATAAAACTCTCTCTTCCCCAGATCACTCAGGAAGTCTGCTCTACTGCTTGTGAGTCACTGCACTCCCGCAATCAGTGGATCGTTTTCCCTTCAATAAAGGACATCAAACTCAATACTAAATTGTTTTAGTTTTGCCATTTGACCATATTCATAACTATGTGGGGGAACATCCTCAAGGGTAATTCATTAAAAATACATCTCAGAGACGTGAGTTTAACACTTTTCCATTTTTTCTACCTGTTTTTCTTCCATCCCTTAACTATCTCTCTCTCTCTTTTTTTAATTAAGTAAGCTGTACAAGCCACTCACGACCCTGAGAGCAAGAGTTGCATGTAATCTTAACGACCGAGCTAGCCAGGTGCCCCGACTAGCTCTTTTAATACAGACCCCGAGAAGATGCATTAGTATCTCTGGAACTTCAAAACAAAATTTGGACATAATTCTTTTTCTTTTTTTTCTCCTTTTTTTAAAATTCGGACATAATTAAAGTGAAAAAGTATTGAGGTGTTATTTATAAATCAGTTTTTTTTAAATCTAGTGTCTATTTATTACACATTTATAACTGGCATTAAACTGTGATGGGATTGGCAGGTAAAATTTTAAGCCTATTCTAGGAGAAAAAAAGACTAGAGGCAAAGCTTTAAAGAATATCTACTGAATGCCAATTCTTCCACTCTTGGAGTCTCAAATGCAGTCCCACAGTGATGTTTTCACTATCTGGCAGAGGAAAAAATAAAGATTATGCGTGCATATTGAAAATAAAAAAACAGACACACAGTTTATATTCTGAGATCGTCTTCTCTATATTTTCACTCTCAAAGTTACTAGAGGAAACAGACTGCAATTAATACTACAGACATATTGTTTGGAATACAGAATATAGAATAAAATATATTAAATGCTATATATAGTATATATAGATATATAGTATATAAATGCTATATATAGTAAATGTAGTCTATATAGTATATAGAATATATCACAAGCTATAATATAAAATAATTAAAATGCTCTTTTGGAAAAAAATTATAAAGTATTCACATAATTAATTTTTTGTCGCTCATACTGATGTCAGCAGCCTGGAAGTGCTATATAGAGGCTATCCGTTCATACAACTTTCCAGGTGTCATTGCTGGATGTTAGAATTCGGAATTTAATTTGAGAGTGACTACTTGTGTTTCAAATCCTGCCAAATTCAACTCAACCTTTTCCGGACTGAACACAATTTATTCCAGCTTGTATTCACAGTACACAGAAGATAAACCGCAGAGAAGGTTTACAACAAACCATTTATAATTTTAAGAAATGATGGAGATAATAAAAATATATTAATAATGTTCTTGGCAAAATAACAGGCTAGCAAACTTTTATTATCACATTTATTTTCGAAAAGCAAAATCTCATAACAACGAAAAATTGAACTGTTGAGAGAGAATAAATTATATTAAGTTCTGCAGTTAAAGCATGTCACTGAGTCTTTCCCTGCCTCGGTTTCCTTTTCTTGCAACAAAACTAGCTTTTAATTTTTAGAGAGGAACTCTGGCAAGATTATGACTGGGGTTTGCATTTTTTAAATCCTGAACATTTTAGCTCTGCAGATTTAGATAACTCTACCCACACATTTGCACAGCTGTCTGAAATCTGTACAAATTTGGTATCACATAGAAACATGCCCATATAGCATTACCTTGTTGACATGCTAATGCCTCCTGACTACCTATTTCTAAACCTTTATTACCATATTTATAGGTTATGCATCCTGAAAGGGCTCCCCTGGCTTCAGGAAAACCTTATTCTATGTGAGAAAAGAAGCATATAAATGCAACCCACCATCATTATTTTTAAGGTCATATATGGAGTATAAAAATATACTCGGAGATGAATTCTAGGGAGAAAAGGAAGGATATCCTGGGGCATCTCGTACAGTATTAAATCTTCTGTGTCTCTTTTCAGGCCTGCTTGGGTTTCCTCTCTTTTGTCTTGTTCCTCAGACTGTATTTGCTGTGATAAGAATTCCTCCCTGAAGCAGAAGCTTAGGTAGGGATGTTTGAAGCTTTTGGACACACTAAAGCTAGAAAGAATAATAACAAATGTTGCAAATACTGCAGCCAGGCACTGTAGCTCATTTCACACCCCAAAAGGTTTAAGTAATGAATGGAGCCAGGTGGGATTAGTTTGAAAAGGGTTTTAGAGAAGGATGGACCTTCTTTTTTTCAGATTGGAGGGAAAGAAGGGGATTGATTTGGCAGGGCAGAAGGTGAGGAGAGCACTTTAATAGGCAGGGGAAGGGCAAATGAAAGGAGTTTGAGGCAAAGGATGGCAAAGCATCCTACTAGAAAAGTCAGGACATACAGGCG